GGGCGGTTTAAGACGAATGTCCCGCTCGCAAACTACTTTCGTTTAACTAAGTGGGCCTCGTAACTACACCTATGTTTCTTTCTTGCCCTCTTAGTCTGCTTTTGTTTTGTTTGCTTTGTCTGTCTTTCTTAGGCTTTTTAGGTGACTAATAGTTTTTTGCTGTGCCAACAATTGGCGCTTTCTGTACAAATGTTCCCCGGGGAGTCAGGATGCTACTGGAGGCCCCTGGCCTCACTACTACTTTGCTAGGGGAGACCGCGCCGAATACGGCTATGTGTGTGTGTGTCACCCCCTGTACCAAAGGGTCCAATGCCACCGTTTCCATTACCACCACTTAACAAGGCAGGGGGCCATCCCCCTCCCCAGTGGCGGATGGCCAACGAAGAGGCCACTGGGGGGGCTGCAAACGTACCTGCCGAACTGTTGTACAAGCTGTCACTCCACTCTTTCTTTGTTTGTTTCCATGGTGGTTCATGCTACTTCCCCTAAACCCTTTCCCTCGCCGCTCGCGCGCGTCGTCGTCGCACCACTGCAGATGAGAAACTTCAATGTTAAAACACCTTCAAGTCTTTGGACCTTTCACCATGCCGTTCCATCGCCTTCCTTCTCAACGTGGGAACTGAGTGTAACTGAAAACCAATGTCAGAGTGTGTGTGTGTGTGTGTCACTTCCTTTTTCTGAATAGGTGGGTTTTGGAAGATGTGTGTGTGTGTGTGTTTTGGGGTGCATCCGGTGGCGACTCCGGTGGCAAAAGGAAGGGGCGCAACTCAACAGATCCGCTGGAAATCAAATCCGCGATTTGGTGTGATCCGGGATTCAGCACTTGTCCTCGAAGAGTCCCCATCTTGGAACGCTACTGTATCATGTGTTGTCCCAAACCAGGATAAACTTTGGATGTAAAAAGACATCAACATATGGATGAGCTTCTTTTCATCTTCAGAGAAGCCCATATGGCCCATTTTATTGAGGTCGCGACTCACGAGGAGCTTTTCAAGGAAAACCGCGGTGCAAGTTCAGTCTCGCGCCCTGGACCATCCGCTCGGATGGTGCTTGGATGTTTAATGCATGTTCATTGGGTCTGTCTTATGATCTGTAACAGTCGGTAAAGAATTGCCACTATTTTAATATATATTAATCTATTTTAAAGAAGACCTTTGTCTGAGCTCTACCAGAACAGTTTTTTGTAATTTGTTGTCCAGGTGTGAAACACCAGTGGCCACACTTTCATGATGTCCTCCCCTTCCACCTCCGATCTCGGATCCGACCTCCATCAGCCTGACCCAATCACCAGCGGCTCCAAAGAACGGCGGGATCAAACGATTCCGCCTCCGGTGGATCCCTCCCTCCGCCCCCCGCGGCCGGATCCGGAAGCGTGTCGTCGCCCATGGCGGAGCCGGAAGCGTTGATCGAGAGCTCCTTCCGGCGGCTGCTCGCCTCCATGGAAGCGGAGCGGGATCAGATCCGGAACGCCTGGCAGCGGCTGGCGGAGGAGGGGGGATTGGAGAGGATCGTAAGGGAGGGGTGTCGCTCAGTTGATAAGAGTTACGCTGTAGCATTACTAAATAATTTGTTTGAAGAACCTCATAGGAAACAGGGGAAGTATGCCGGCGTTATGCCGGCAGAGAGAATCACCAGCTCTTCATGGTGTTTGAGGATTTGCATTAGGTTGTTGTTCGAGGGTCATAGCTAGATAGTAAGTTTATTAACTTATGTCAATTGTGTAGTATGTTACCACGAGTGGACCACGAGGTCATCGTTTCATCCGGATCCAGTCGTGCCTTCTAGAAGGTACGACTCCGACAGAAACCAAGCCTACATCAACTATGTGTCTCCGACAAACACCACCCGATTCATTGCGGATCCGCGGATCCGAGACCCGTTCAGAACGGCATAGACCCGTTCAGAACACGGCCACTCAGAACTACTGGCGCAGTGAGGGACGTCCTGACTGTCCTGAAGAAACGGATCAATACAAAAAAGAGAGTACAAGGCGGGTATCAGCCTAAATTCATCTAAATACCTGAATACTTGAAGGGTATTATCCTAGAATACACTAAATACATCCAAATACGTTGCAATTTGGTGTTGGCATGTTTTCATTGGCAAAGCTGCACCTGGAGCTCCGGCTGCAAAAGTATGTGCATTTTAGTGGACACATCAGCGCCAGGAGCGAGATCTGACCACCGAGCAGTTGGAGAAGTTGAGACAGGAGACTGAAGAGTCACTCAGATTGCAGATCATCAAACAGTCAACGAACAATAGACCATCTAGCATATATAGTGACTATAGACGTGGTTAGGAAGGATCGACGTCTCGGAGTCTCTTGGGTAATCCATCTTCCATTTTCCCCTTTGAGCCGAGAACATCAAGACATCGGAGCTACTGGGAGTTTCTGAACCACCGGAGCTAGCAACGAACTGAAGCATCGATCCTCTAAGCTATTCATTTGAACCCTTGCTAGCACCCAGTGCGACTCCTCACCTGGGATGACTCGTCGTATGCCATCCACTCCAAGCGAATTGCCTTACATGGGACATGTTTGCTTTCCACCTGGCCTCTGCCTCACGTCCTTCAGGTGGTGCTACCGGGAAAAGCTTAAGATCGACACGGAACCTCTGGCCGCAAGAGATGGCCACGTTGACCAACCAACGAGAGCTTGGCCCGACTCACCTGGGGGGTACCTAGTCGAATGGGATAGTCATGGATAGTCGACTGGCTTGGGCCCTCCAACCCCTGTTGGGAGCTTGCAGAACTAACGGACGTCGCGTTCAACGGACGCGGTCCGCGTTTCGGAACGACCGAACCGTACGCGCCGGTGTGAGATCGGTGTAGGCGCAGCTGGTGACGGCACGACTTTGTGCCACTCTTTTTTGGTGTTTCTCAACTTTCTCAACCAATGTTCGGGCATGAATTGCGACCGGTCGAGATGTTCAGTTGCGCGGGTGGCCGTTTCGTGGAAACTCCCATGGCTCAATCGACCCTTACCTCCACCCTGACTCCATGAAATGGACGACTCCTCCCCGGAACCAACCTGATGAAGTGTTGTCATCCGTGGTTTGTGGCCGGCGCCTGACAACACTTCGTCCGGCCCGCACCGACCCATCGACCCCCAGACTCGTCAGACAGCCTCAGGAGTGGCAGCGCTTGAACAAGCTCAGCGAAGAGATGCAGAAGATGTGTCCCAGCTGAGATCGCTTGGGGTGAACCATGGGTGAACATATGATTGCAGGGTCGACCAGGTCGAGGTAGAGAACCACCCCTATAAGAGATCATGCCAATTGCTGTGGAGATCATGCCAATTTCAGCCGCTTTTGGAGTGGATGGTCTTCATGTGCATTTGCTGACATGTAGTTGCTTCATCGTATAGAATCCACAGATCAAGTCTGAGAGTAATGCAAAGCTTCAAATACAATGATCCCAAGTCCCGGACTCAATGGACCCCACCATCCTGATCCAAAAGCGAACCAAGCATTGGACCTTCTCCCGATCTTCGCCCGTCTGCCCGACTCGTGGCCGGATCTCGTTCGACGCGTGAAACCAAATCACATCAAATCACCGACTCTCAGCGTCTCTTGGGGTGGTTTTGGACATGTCCCCCGGGCGGTCTCTTCCTTCGGTCGATGATAGACGTTCGGGATACACCTTGGAACCAAGGTTTTCGCCGGGCGGTCTCTTCCGAGGTGGCCCAGGAATTGCGAGGTGCTACAGATCAACTGCTCCGGAGAGCTCTTCGTCATCCCGCGGGCCACATGGCCGAGTTGGGCAAACAAGACCCGCACCGAGTTCGAAGCGTCCGAGCCCGACCCACCCGAGAGCCTTCTTTTGGTTGGCCAATGGCTTATTAAAGAGCCAAGGCAGCTTGGGCTGTGTTGGTTGGTACGTATTTCACTTGGACCCTGGTGACTAAAGCGGTTCAGGCTATAATCACTTCCAGTATGTTTGAAACATGACTTCATCAAGCGCAAAATCGGCAGTTCATGTACCATCACTCAGTTTTCCCTTCAATACGGGCTATAGGGTTTGAGTGGGCATTGTGTGTGGCATTTCAGTTGGACATTAAGAGTAATGACAGCCAGGCAACACCAAAAATGTGGGAGTGGAGAATCACCCAACACAACGGAGTTCAGGTGAAGCACAGTTGCCAAAGAAGGAAACAGCCAGAAGGTTGCAAGAAAGTTGGAAACACGTGGGACAATCGTGGCAAAAGTGTGGTACTACGCAGTGATCAGCTCAAATGTATAGGAAAAAGGGCTGGAAAAGAGTGATAATTGTGTTGTAGCAGATTATGTTGGTGAAGTTCCGAAGTACTGGCCACATTTATCGGGAGTCCGATGCAAGAAAATGGTATGTTGACTGAGTAATCTGAGACACTAGAGAGGTTCTTTTGGGGCGTTTGGTGGAAAGAAGTGGTCATGTATGTTCATGTTGGTACTAGAGAAATGTGTGAAGCGCTTACTTTTTTTCATCATAGCACTTACTGCACATACCTCTTGACAAAGAGCGCAACAAATTGAAGAGAGCAATGCCGTGCTGCTTGGAAAATTGCAGGTTTGGATGGTTTTCTAAGGTTTGCTCATGTACCATGTTTTTCAATAGAACTGCGTTTCAGCTGTGCGGATTGAAACAGTTAGTGATGTACAACCTTGGCTAGGTCTTTTTGCAACACAAATATCACGCGGCAACACAGACAGACAACACGTCGTCGCCCAGGAGACCCTTTGCGGCATCGAGGGTTCGGTACTCTCGGAGATGTTCAGCCCTGACTTCATGTCTGAGATTCCTCGAGCACCTTGGCACAAGGTGTGGGCGACGGAACATCGATCAGTCGACTGCTTCAGTTAATACAATGAAGCTACTAGTATATAGCTTCTTGCTCCTAGTAGCGATGCCCTTGTTACTAGTATAGCTTCTAGTAGCTTAAATAGATTTAGTATCCAGCAGGGTCGAGTAGGGTACTTTCGTCATGACTTAGCGGGGATCTAAGATTCCACTCCATGCGGTGCAACCGGCACCGAAATCGGCACCGGCCAGTGTACCATGGCTTTCCCTCCGGTCACCCAAAGAAGAACAAAGCTCAAGAAGCATCATTAAGAAGGGGCGCGTTTGCGAGCCACCTAGGATGAGTTCGGTCGTTTCTTCTTGGACTTCAACCCCCAATGCTTCAGCCTGGTGGTCGAGTATCTGCGGAACCGGCGCTTGAACGAAGCTGCACCTCTGCCGGTGGTCCCGCAGAGCCAGAAGCGGAACATGGAACTGTTGGCAGAAGCTTGGAAGTTGTGGCCATTCTTGCAACTTGGAGATCTATTCGATTGATCATCGCCGGACCCAGAAAAGAACTCTGTGAATCAGAGATAGTCTAAGTGGTTTTCTTAAGTTTAGACTAGATGATTTTAAGTTGTGACAGGAGGCCGAAATCCGGGGTGATTCTTTTCGACAGGGAAAAAACTGTCAGTATGGGAGATGTTTAGATGTTGGGAGGGAGGGCTTTCTGTGTGCTTGAGTGGGTGCCTGAATTGGAGAAAGAACTAGCACTTGGTGGATCCTTAGCTACTGAAAGGTAAAAGGCTCAGTGTAAGTGATCACTTCTCCTGAAGATAAAGAGCCTTTGATCCTTGTCATCATACATTGATTTACAAGCATGATTCGTGATTCCTCCAGTACCTCACCAGGTTGATCCACCCATCTTCCCATGGTCCGCCAATCCGCCTACTCCGCCACCACGCCTCACATCCCCACGCATCACCCCTTTGAGCGCGCGCTCTGCCAGGAAGCCGAATCGCTTGAACCCGCTGCACGGCACCTCGCTGCACGTGACCGTGCAAGTGGAGTCCGACTTGAAGGACTCTTCCTTCGGGACCCTTCGGGACCCCCCCGCGCCGGACCCACGGGGCTCCACAGGGATCCACCGATTCCTCCGCACGAAAGCGAGAGGAAAGATCTGAGAGCGGTAGCGGACACAAAGACCGGGTCTTGGTGGGTTTTGGGCCGCAGCTCTTAGTGGTATACGGATCGGTGGAAGGAAGAAAGGCTAAGAAAGGTGAATGGTTGCAACACCGTGGTTCTGTGTATCATGGAACTCATATGGAACATCCGACTCTATCCAGCTCATGGAACTCATATGGAACATCCGACTCTATCCAGCTATCCTAGCTTCTGTCGGTGCAGAAGTTTGTTGTTTGGGAGTAGGACCGTAGCGGTGTGTGTAAGGACCTACCGTCTGAAGTCCCACTCCGTCAGGTGACACGTCGTCTGAAGTCCCACTCCGTTGGTGCGCCCACCTGTCACAGGTGGCTTCACTGACCAAGGCGTCGAAACGGCGCCATTTGCATTCAACATCTGTTTTCAAACACCGCCCCGCCCCAAACGGCCCAACGGTATGCGAGTGGGGATCTACTATGTTCATCTATGTTCGATCTAAGATCGGGTGTCTATCTACCAACTTCTGGCGTAAACCTTGGAGTCCTCCCCTCCTTGGTACGTCCCCTCGTCCCACGTCCGTGCGCTTTTTGGAGGAGACGCAGATCGTGCGCGCGACCCACCCCGGGTGGCAAGTGCTCGGTGCCGAGCAGCCCTTGCCGGTGTCCATCGTGTGGCTTGGGACGGACGGGACACGGTCGGAGGTCGTGGAGCGGAGCTGGTGGGAAGGGGTGAGACGTGTGGGCAGAAGGTGACAAGCGAGTTGAAGGGTCACCCTGACAGTGAAAGAACCGTCATAGTTGCGGGTGTGATCCAATGGTGTTTGTGATCCAATGAGAGCTGAACAAGGTGTCCAGAGTGAGCTGAAGCTCCAGCTATTTCGGTCAACATCATCGTTGAATAAAATATATCGAAAAGACAACATCACGAAACATAAGCTGTGCATTGGCCCTGATGCATTCCTCCGGAACAGGAACAGTACGTAAGCCAACTTTAATAGAAGGTTTCTCATTGTTTCTCATGCATGCTTGCCTCTTATAGTCCGATACTTGCACCGTCCGAAATTGGCCATGTCTCCCGCTGCCTACTCACTCACGTCGTGTCTAAGGTCGTACTTCGAAGTCCAGATTCTCCACAATCCGGATACTCGTGGGGGCTTGGCCATTGGCGTTTGTGACCATTTGCCCTCAGGGCCGGAGACCCACTCCATCCATTTGCAGTCCTGCGTGCTTTATAACAGCAACAATGGACTCTTAGGCAGGAATGTGATCGGCATTGGGATATTGGCTACTTGCACCAATGTGATGCTACAGCTTCGCATGATTGCGCATGTACCATCATCATTGTGGTCCTCTTGTTACATGTTGTTGCCATTCTCAATACATGTACCATCATCAGTGGTCGGATGTTGTTACCATTCCTTTGGTTCATTGTTGGTTTGTGGAAAGCATCCGACCAATTGAGACTTCCAGATCAACGAGGACCAGAGGATACGTATGATGTACCCGCCAGCTAAAAGACCTGATAGAGCCAAGGTCAGTCGGTACTTGGTCATCGGTTTAAATAGAAATGTATGGTAAGTTCGCATCCTCAAGAGTTCATGTTGATAGGCTTTCTTATGTCTTCTTCCAGGATCCAGAACCCCCCGGAATGGACCATTCTCTGCTGCTGGGCACTCCAAAACGCATATATCCGCAACCGCTACGCCTCGCACGCCCGCAAATACACCTCCCCCCCATGGATATCGGATGTTCGAGAGGCGATTGCATCGCGGAGCACGACGTGAAGGGCGGCTTGATGTTGGCGGAGGGGGAGCGCTTAGGGATCTCCCACGACGTGGTGTCGCAAACCTTGCAGTGGTACCACAACGGCCAAAGCATCGGCAAATCCACCTTCCGGGAACGAGCCTTGGCGAGGAAGAAGGCTGGTCGCTGGGTGTTTTTCAAAGCACATCATATTTATGGGTGAAATGACCTCTAAAAAAGGGGGTGAATCCCTTAGCATGTCTCGGTTTGGTTTGCCACTAGTGGGCTAGCAGCTAGAACATGTTTGCAAAGGACAGGTTTCTTTTGACGCAATTTATTAGAGAGATGATGAAAGAGAAGGGTGCTGGTGATGTATAGCATGCGCAGGGTTGAACGATATAATTCCACTTAGTTAGTTCCCACTTATGGCAGGGTGAGACTCTTTCTTTTGATCTAGACTCCTGAAGGGACATATTATTCGCTTCTGGTGCCGTGACAGACGTAGTACTGAACGTATTCAACACCAAACTGTCGGGAATTTCTCGAGGTCCATTCTGTAGGGCAGCCTACAGGTCGCTTGGTGTTGGTTTGACCAGTCACCAGTCGTTGGTTTTCCCCAGTCGATGGGTTTACCGTTTGACAGGATGGACTCGAATTCATATGGTGAACTTCGGCTTCGGTTCGCCAGAACTCCCGAAGAACTTGTCCCTAAAAGATATTGAAAGGTTTTGCCTCCGGCTTCGGTGGTGCAGGCTTGGTTCGAGCTTCAGAAAAGAACGTTCCATCTCGTCTCATCTGCAGAGTTTGATGATCTTGGACCTTGGGTGGGGGCCTATCACTTTGATGTTTTCTTCGTTGATGACGGTGTTCATGCGGCGGTACGGTGTTCACCTCGGACCCACCCCTTGAAGCAAGCAATGTTGGCGTCCCCAGACGCGGAACGAAAACAGAAGGATACCAGCATATGCCAACTGCTGTTTGTTTATCACGCATACACAGACTCTTGATATCTGCTGTTTGTGTACTAGACTTTTGATTCATGAAACTTCCCTATTTTTATTGTAAAACCTCCTTGAAGATGGGAGGTCTACCATTACTTCAGACTGCAGTTCGGGGCGAAGTGACCATGTGAGAATGACTCAACACCACAAGCAAAGGGAGCCCCTCCATCGGTTGGGCCGGAAGAAATGGCTGCAAGTCAAGATTTCTTGGTCATACCTGAAGGTATGGCTGCTGGTTCGGATCCTATTTACGTAAGACACATACAGTAATATGGGGATGGGAACCATCCTGGTTCTGACCCACTGCCATATAATGCTATAAGCTCATACCTGACTCACCTGACCGCTATAGCTTTCACCGATCCTTTTTGCGCTCGCCTCAGTGAACTGTTGGTCAAGCTGTTGAGCTCATGATGTAAACTCTCTTGCCCAGATGCTTCGTTCACAGCCCGATAGGTCCCTCAAAATCCAGGGATTAGTTCAACCCCAGACCCCTCCAAAGGATTCGGGTCTAGGGTCGCGTTTGGTACCTCTTTCGTTCCAAGGATGGGACTCGGTCTATCCGGTCTTCGGGCTTTACGTGCCGAACCAGTCCATGGTGGTCGACTTCCAAGCGACCCTCCCGACACAATGACGTGATGGGAGGGTCGAAAGAAGTGGTGTCACCGGATGTGTCACCGGATGTGTCTCACCCGACCGTACCTGCGAGTCAGTGCGAAGGAAGTGCGTGCGTAGACGAAACCATGGGGGTGATGGTATTTGAGCTGACGAAAAACCGATCTCTGACGATCTTTGGATCTTGGCCATTAATATAGATGAGTTTTGGTCAGGAGTACCTGAAATGTTTACATGTTACAGCTTTTGGGAGAAAACTTTTTAGGAAATCTGAAGCAAAACTGTGGGAATACCTGAGTTTCTCCATTTCACTGGCCCGACCGGATTCCACTTCGACCGGTGAAGTCGACTGGAACCCTGCCAACATCTGGATGGACGCTCTGAACGGAACCTTGGCTCTGATTTGATGGCCTTGTTTGATCTCAACAAGAGCCATTCACCACCCAGCGACTACCCCGCTTAACAGTCAACACAGAGTGCGTTCGAGAAACAGCAGAGGTTGCTAGAGCGAAGGGTCTGCGAGCGATGTTTGTGTCCGCATTCGATGCTTGGAACACAACAGGTGGACAGGATCTAGCTTACTCTTGGACTCAGCTGAAACCTGGGAGGCCCTTGACGAAATGCTGCCCAGAATGCAGCCGCACGGGGCCCCTGTGTTTCCACAGGTTTGGAGGTAATTTTGTGGTGTGTTGAGAGACTATCTAATTACAACTTGGAAACTTTGTGGACCATCACCAGAAAACTCTTTGGGTCTTGATCTCTATATAATTGTAGACTCTTGATGCATACCAAACACCTCATTTGGATTGTAAAGTGTAAAGCTTCTTCATACTTGGATAATTTTGGATATACTTGTTAAATCGACTGTCTGTCATGGTGGTAGACCGGTGGGAGACCATTTCGGTGACACGAAAGGGTGAGCTCTCCGAGGCTGAAGCACAGCGTCTACATGAACGCCACAGCGGAAGCCTTGAAGCCTGGCACTGACCCCAAGGCAAGTGGTCACTGTCCCAGCCGCCACCAGTCGTCTTCCCCACCGACTCATGTGAATATAGTGCAGGTCTATCGTGGATAGTGCTCCCTGTTTGTACTGCAACTGGTCAGTTTGAGGTCTTTTGAAACAATGAATGGAGGGGTCCACATACCACTGAGAAGTGCATGAGGAAGCTTGTAGCTAGGGTTATATAAATATATATATATATATAGTCATTGTAACAAGAAACACACACACAAAAAAACACACACACACACACCTATTGACCTCTTTGGACAGGTCGTCGTAGACCTGCTCAAGAAGCAGCTCACCAGTCCGGTGCTGTGGGAGCCTTCCATGCAGAAGATGATCACGGTGCGCCCAACCCAACTGCTCGAGACAGAGGAACATAGGAACGGGCGATCACGGGAAAGCTGGACATCCCGGCCGGAGTGGGGACGGACAGGTTCCACCTGACTTCGGGTTGATGGAACTTCGGCTCCGGGAAGGGGGATTTCGACAAGAACTGGCCCCAGTTGGTTGATTACTAGTGGGGAGACCCCCGGTCATGTACAACCTATATAATTACAAAGAACATGCAATATTATGCCACCTTCCATCGATCCCTGTATTTGGCAACATCATTGACTTGGACTTCTAGAGAGGTGGCCGGCCTGGTGCAACACCGGTCCAAATCTGTTCGTCGTAGGATTTGGGCAGAGTAGACTTGATCTCTCAGCACAATCAATCAGCCATTGCGGCTTTGTTTTGGGGGTATATCAGGAAATATCAGGACCCATTGATGTCATAAATGAAATCGTATGAATCACATGTGGCTCCTATATATATATATATATATATATATATATTTAGTAGTCTTCAGTTCAGGCCTTCAGGGCCTTCAAGCTGCCGGCAGCAGCGCGCCACACGCTAACCGCTCACGCCAGTCTGGCATCACTGACTTCTATGAGTGCGGGCCGAACAAGCAGATCAAGGCCTGCTGGTGGTGGAGAGTATGAGTCTCGATATATACGAAGAATAATCTAGTAGAAATAGATGTGAAGTGACATGAGACCCAAGCTCAAACATGTCCAAGTTGAATTCTCATCCATATCAAATTCAATCTTGTGGTCACGGTATCAACAGAAGGACAGGAACTGGAATGACCAAAATCAAGGCCTTTTGCTTAAAAACATGGCTTTTGTATGCTTTTGTACCATGTGAATGCCCGAAGCCGAGGTCCAAAAGAGAAAAGCCAAACAGATCAAAGCAGCAGCTTTTCACAGCACGGGACTTCATGAGGTAGTTATTCGTTCCATCCAGTGAGTGGAATTCGTTTTGGGGGCGATTCTCCAAGAGGTGGAGATCACTGTGCATTAAAATAGGGAGGGAGACACTTAGGGAGACCCCCTGGACCTGGCTGGGTAGACTGGTCTATGTTTTTCTTCCAGGGCCGGGGGTAAGGCTGCGCAGAAAGCATTTCTGATTATGGTGGTTTTGAAGCCCAGAGTTTGGACACTCATGCTCAATCATAATTGGGGAGGGTGTTTCACCTCGGAGACATCAACGTCTTTGGCAAACCGGCAAGTGTCTCTTCCACAAGATGGACAAGCAACATGAACACTTCACTCAGTTCCTAAAACTTCAGTTGGCTAGGTCAGATTGGCTGTTCACTTGGCTTTGAAGTGGGATTATCCAATGACCTACCCTCACCAAACATCTCTAGCAGCATGGCCACGATCTCTTTTAGATCTTGTTCCTCTCCTCGATGGGCGTCGACCATCGCTTGGACCGGAGCATCACTGCCATCGACTTCGACCGTCGGAGGCAATGATGAAGCGCATCAACCCCAAGGCCTGGGGCTCCACCACCAACGTTGAGGTCTGAGCGCCGGGCCCGACGAAGTCTTCGGAGTCATAAAGGAACATGCAACGTTGCATATCATAGAATGCTTGGAAGAGCTTCACAACAAGCCAAACATGAAAAAAGAGTCAAGTCAAGCCAGTCAATTGAAACTTTGATAGTCTCGGTTTTCTTCCTATGGTGAGATTAGCCGACTTTGCTCAGCCGTCTTTGGTCAGCAGATCATTCTGCTGTCAAAGTTGAAAGGTTGAACCCTTTGAGCTTCCAGAAGTCAGCTTCAGTGCAAAAAGACACGCGTGCAGGATTGGGTCTTGGGTGGGAGAACCCACGTCAAGATGAAAGACATCTCCAGAATCATTCAGAATCGTCCAGATGTCATGGAATTTCACTCTTCTGAGTTCTTCTTGGGACTTTCAGACATCTCAGAGACCGACCTCTCTCCGAAGGCATCCGACCTCATCACATCATCCGGTCCCGACCGTTCCGCTTCCGCGCGCTTCGCCGTCGAAAAGCAGACCGAGCGGAGTCGGGGACCCCGCGTTTCGACTCTGGGGGCTGCGAGTCGGCCTCATTCTGCTCCCTCCCCAGAGCCTGCACCTGAACCGTGCAGCAGTCGTGCAGCACTCGTGCAGCACTTGGTCTGATGCACCGCATTGGTCCAACAGCCAGCTGGCTCATCTGCATGATGCCAGTGATGGTGCCACCACGCGTGCGTGTTTGTGACACCACGAACGCCGGACGTGACGGCACTACCCGCCGGACGTCGTCGCTGTTCCGATCCTCCGGGGCAGCCGGAGACGTGTCCGGATTGAGTTCACCATATTTGGATCATTTTGGATCCAGTCCTTTTCAGACCGGCTGGCTACCGGATGCCTCTTTATCACACGCTGCGTCCATCCCAGTCGCCCGCGCGACCAATGGCGGCGACGCGACGCAACCGAGCGGGCCTGAGCGGTCCGCTCGCCAGTTCGGATCCCTCCTGTCCTGGTGGCGTTCGGCATTGGTTCGGTCCGAGAGCGTGCGCGCGTGCGAAGCGGTTGAGCATATATGGGACATGCTTCTGAGCATGCTCAAGCGATGGATGTTGCCTTCGTGCGCCCGAAGTTCGCTCTACTGGAGGGATTCCGTCTTTTTCAGGGTCTTTGTTCTTGCAAGTGTCCCAAGTTCGAACTTGTTTCCTGTGCCCGCCCTCCCATCCTCCCCCCACAGCTGGCATAACCTGTAAACATGCATCTTCACGTGGATTCCTGGCCGGAGCGGTGTCCCACAACGACCCCCCCCCACCGCGATGACCGATGCGAGACCTCCCCGCCCTCGCTGCTTTGGCCAACGGCCCAAGGCCTTTGCGGCCCCAACGAGCCACGGACGACCCCCCCGCACGCGCCGCTTGACGTCAGAGCTACCGCGTCGTCGTGGCAGCTGAAGATGAAAGAACCCGTTCGGAACATCCAAGCGCTGGGAGTTGTTTGGTGCTTTGTCCATGGAGCGAACCCCGTTCGCCACGCCATTCTGCTGCGTTCCCTGAACCTTCAATCGTAGCACTTTATTCTGGCGAACCAAGGAAATGTTTGAGTTTCGTAGCGTTTTTTGATGAAACGCCGAGCACTTTTGATGAAACGAGCAGTTTTTAAAGATGTCGAACACTGAAGTCTTCTTGGGCGAAAGGTGGAGCAAAATGCCGCAAAACGCGCGCAAATTGAAATTTGGCGAACCACCCCAGCATGGGTTGGATATGACAGGGATCCATGTGCGTTTTTTGAGTGTTTGTAGTAGCGCTTTTAGGCAAAACGAACGTCTTTTTTGTAGCGAAGGAAGCTTCAGGTCACTTAGCGATTCTCCGACGAACGTTCGAGTAATGCAGAGGTCCGATGTTCATGACCCCTTCCAAGTCCTTGAAGAAAGGCAAAGAAAACGGGTTCCAAAGGTAGGAGTGATGGCAGTCGGAGCCATCATCCCTATATACATGAAGACCGAGGCATAGGCCGCATACGCCGCATACGCCTCAAGCTTTAGCAAGACCCGACACTGATTCGCCAGATCAGCGAATCACGAACATTTGGCTGACCTACAAGGCGTAAACCGAACACAGCATGCCTTGAAGGGTCGTCGTTGTTGGTGAGGGTTCTCATTGTGCTTCCTAAAGGCAATGGCAATCTTTCGGCTAAACAAACCTCAATAGTGAA